TTGACTAAGCCCCCCCATAATTCCATAAACATCCCCCAAACATGAACTCTGAATTGCAAAAACGTGTTTAATATAAAATAGCTTAAAATATGATTTTTGCTATTTTCTAGTATAATATTTATTGGCTTTCTAAAAAATTAGTGTAAAGTTTCATTGCCGTAATACTTCGACAAATGGTTTCATTTTCATTGCCTTTGAAAAAAACAACAGTGGTAAATATAAAATATCTTAGTTTTAATATAAATTGTGGCATTTAGTAACAGTTATTGAAAAATGTTTCTTTATCACACCATACTATCACAAACGGGGTAAACAGTGCTTGACATAAACGTAAAATTTATATGCTTTTTTAAATCTATGTATTAAATATTTAGTTATATATTTAAAAAGAAATGCATTTATCATACATTTAAAATGAATTTGTATGAAAAAAATAATAATTTTAGCATTAAACAAATTTAAATTGACATTTTTTTAACAGTTTTTTTAACTGACTTTTAAAAACATTTATGTTGTAGAAGCCGACTGTAATATATAATTTGGGGAAACTCTTTATAAAATGACTTAGCGGTGATTTTTAATAATTATTTATTATCTATAAAACTTAATAAAAATCTATTATTTCGTTGACTTCACAGATTAGTAATCTCTAGTATATTTTTTAATAAAGTGAATTATTTACTTAATACTATTAAAATTTCATAAATTTAAAGCGCCCTTTGCCGTGTTAACGATCTCTCAGCTCAAATCTATTGCATTTTTGTATGTTTCAATGAAACTATATCTACAAATTGAAAAAAAATCACTGGAAAATACAGTAGAATTTAATTTCCTACCCATAAGTTCATTTGACGTTCATAAAAGTTTGAGAATATGTGACAGATCTTATAGCTAATCTCTTATGCTGTGAGATAATATAATGGGAACGTAATAAAATTCTTTAATTTGTTCATTTTGCAAACTTTGACGTCATTTGTATAAGTCTCATGTTGTAGCGGACGTATAGTACGGTAGTTTACCAAAATTAAGTTTATGTCGATGTAATGGAGATATAGTTTCATAAATATTTTATCTTAAAAACTATTAAACTCTCATTCCTAAATATAAAACTAATAGTTTAGTAATTTTTTTACACTTTATTTTGTTTTATATTGCACCAAAATTTTTAGTTTATTTAGTTTTTAAGTTCGGGAGTTTTTGTTAATATTCAGTTTGATAAATTAAATTTGTATATGTTGAAACTTACGTACTTAGAGATTATTATAATAATCGTATTAATATGCATTTTTTAATATAAATTACATGTTGAAGATTCAGTTTTAACAAAAATAATGAATTAAAAAAAAATCGACGTGGGTAGTTTAAAAATAACTAAATATCTGTTTTGGTTGACATTTTTCTCTTTGATAAACCAGAGAATTTCAATGTTAAAGGCGAGGAAACCTGCAGCATTTAATTGTATGTTGTGTTGTAGCTTTTATTATAATTTCTGTTTAGTATTATGTAAACAAAATTGCTTCGTCAAAGAGCTGATTTTAAAGCGATGTATTAACTTAGTGTTTTGCTAAATAAATAATTTGTATTTATGGTTTTGATTTCCTGACCTTTAGTTAACAGAGGAAGTAATCTGACGCGGTGGGCATAAGATAAATTAAATTGTGATAGTCAATTAGTGATTGATTGTGTTATACAAGACAAACAAAGAAAGCTGTGAGGTCCACGATCTTCTATACAAGACCAAAAACATGTAATTCACAAAATAATTAACGTATTTTTGGTCATTATAATTATCAAATTTAAAAGTTTGAAATAGATATAAATATTAAACAAAGTTAATCAAAACATATTTATATCTTATTTAACTAAACAACAAGAAGTTTAGGTAAGGTTTCGAAGATACTGGCACCGTTCCCCTTTGAATAGATAAACAAATATCCTTCATAATGAAAACGTCAAATTAAGATATTTTTTTTAAATTACAAATGTATGTTGAGCCGAGGCTACGCGAGAACTAAATATTAAAAAATAATACAGCGCCATCTTTCGAATTGCACAGCAGTAACGTACAGTCAGCGTCATATAGATCGTCACAGACAAGATATGCAAATATATAGGTACATCAAAGTAATCAATTATATCGGTACAACAAAAGTCCTCAAAATAATAGATACATTCACCCTGCTCAAATACATCGGTACATACACAGCGTCAAATATATGAGTACATGCAAGATGCTCATAAATATCGT